GAGTTCATCATATACGGGCGAGGAGGGCGTTTGCACTGGCTGGGAGAAAGTACGACGGCGTGGCTTGTGTCATGGGAGTGTCTTCGTAGAGTCGTATGGGTGTGTCCGATTCTGGACCCCACGAGTGCCCTGTCGTCTCAGTTACCGTCGCTCCATTGACCGTGTATCCTTGGCCGCCGCCCGCCTGGAACCCCCTAAAAGCGCCCTTCGTACAGAACTCCCAAACCTTGCCAACCATGTCTTCTATCGTTTGTAAGCTGAATAGGCTCCAGGCTGCCGAGCTCGGCGCGTTCGATGTGCGATCGAGTGGTATTTGCGTCGATGGGGACTCGGCTTCGGGTATTGCTTTCGGGCCCAATGCTCTCCTGTAGTCGACGTCCGAGTAAACGCTGTTTGTCCAATGCGCCATCCGCTGCGCCGATCGCTGGCCCCGCCGGGGTAGTGCTAATTTCTCCTGCCATCGTGTACCTGGACTCCCGGCCTTTTTCTTCCTCCCGGCCGTCGAAGGCGCCCTCCATGTTCATATGCCAATCTAGCGGTGTCGACTCCCTCGTCCTCGCTCGTTTCCGCTTTGCTGTCCCGGTATGTGGTGCAGTCGGCATGGAGATGTCGGAGAGCAAACTTCCGGTCGATTTCGCGAGATTGTAGCTCGATGCTGTCGGGGACGGAGGCGGGCGGAAGACATTCGCGTGTAGCGGCTGGCCGGGGGTCGTCGATGTGTCGAAGTGGAATGCCCCAGGGGGGTGGAATTGCGGCGGGAACGACATGGCGACGGAACTGAGCCTGATGTGATGTATGTCCCTATTGCACGCCCAATTCAATTCCAACGGCCAATGCGTGCAACCCAAGTGTAGCCAGCAGGGCTGCGCGCAGGTCAGAGCTGGGCTGCGTGGCAGATCTGAACGGACGGAGCTCCCGTGCTCCTGTAGCCGCCGCTATGGGAAACCCGGAATATCGCTCACTTGTCAGGCGCCGGTGCTCTTGTAGGTTCGTTTCCCTTGTTGTGATTTCGCAGCTGGGGATTCCGGCTCGATCCGGGAGGAGCGCGTGATCGCGGCGGGCGGGGTGTTGGACAAGCTGTCGGGGAAGAGCAACAGAGCTGCTCGGGGCAACCAACCAGAGCGGGGCCAGCGTCGGCTTCGACCGGTGCGGTGCAGCTTTAACTTTAAAATCACCAGCCGCCCGCCTCGTCCCGTTGATGGCGGCGCCCGGTAAGCAGTCGACCGAGCAGCTTGTTTTCCGTCTCCGTAGAATTCGCAGGTTCTCGTGCAAAATTGGAGCCCGATGGAGCGTGCCTACACTTTCGTCGGATGGGTGATTGGGTTCCAGGGATCCCGGGCCTGACGGCTTCGTACGCAAAAGTCCAACGTTCTCAACTTGTGAGCACGCGAATCAATTGCAATCTTCTCCCCCAGTTCATGCAGACAACAAGACACGAAGCGAGCAAGTCGCGGTCAGTGGATGCTGCTGTGTGTGGAGTTCCGCCAAGTCTTGTGGTCGGATCTGTCAAAAGGGGATCTGCTTTTGGCAAACGGTCTGGGCTTTCTTGGAAGGACCGTGCCATGACCGAGCGGCCGAGCTGGTTCACTCCCGCCTTGTCGCTGTCAATTATTTCCACGTGGTTTCCGTAGTGAAGGTAGCAACGGGATGGATGTCATGGATACGACGGGAGGCCAACTAGGTCTCGAGCTTTATTACCTATTTCCCGGTGATACCAGTGACAGGACCCTCGGTTGAGGGTGTCCGCCATTCCCGCAACCAATTCAACCATTTACCAGTCCAAAACTCCATCCACCCCAGATGCATCCCGAAGCTCGATTCCTCGCGCCCCTCTACAGGTATTGCAAACATCTCTTTCGCTCGAAAACCGTCTAAAACCTCGCGGTACCCCGTGTAGTCTTAAATGCAATGCAAATGCCAAATTCCAGGTGAACATCCCTCTACGGATGCCCTTCCTCCTCGCGAGCTTAAGCCATGCCAGAATTGACCGGAAATGCGGCTCCCCTACTCCTTGCTGTAGTATGCATCCTGCTTCGCCTTGTGCGCGGCTGCAAGACCACCACCGACCCCGCTTCCGCCATCAACATGAGCCTGCCCCGCCCAGAAGTCGTCGCGCTCTTTCATGATCTCCTCCGCCCAAGCCTTAACCTCCTCGAGCACGATCTTTGTCTTGACATAGGTAAACTCGCCCAGATCCAGCCTCCCCTTGCCGCGCTTCTCATACTCGATCATCTGCAGGAGGAGCTCCATCTTGTCGATGTCGTGGACGTAGAGGCTGTCAAGCGTCTTGGAATCCTCGTATTCCTGCCAGATGGCCCGAATCTCGGACCCGACGTTCCCGCCGTCCACCTTGCCGAGCAGCCCCTGCGTGATGTAATCCATGGTCGTCGCCTCGCGCCGGCTCTTCTCGGGCTTCGCCACGTTGTCGACGGGGGTGATGTCGCCGACGATCGACTCGGCCATGTCGTGGATCAGGCACATCTTCATGCACTTGGCCAGGTCGAGCTTGGCAGCAAGGGCCGGGGGCGCCAGCATGCTCATCATCGACATCCGGTACATGTGGTCGGAAATGGACTCGCCCCTTGCACGCGGCGGTGCTTGTTAGCAAAGAGCGAGGCAAAGCAGGCGGGAGCACGGCTGGGGCACCTACCGGTCAATCCCGAATCTCCGCCATCCCTCCCGCTTGGTGGTCTTGAGGCGCTCGAGGAGGTGGAAGTACTCAACCGGCGAGCTTGTTCCCTCGACAGGCTTGCCCGTAGGAATGGTCTCAACCACTTTTTCCACTGTCCATGGCTCGGTAATCGTTGGGTTCGGGTTCAGCACAATGCCAACATCCACCAGGGCTTCGCCGTTCTCGGTTGGCTGTGCGCTTGGCGGCATGGTCGCTGGCCTGTGGTGACTGAAGGTGGAAGGCGGAGGAGGGCTTCTAATGTACGTCGGCGGTAGACAAGGTAGGTACCTGAGTTATAGTGAATGGTAAGGGTTGGTCTTATCTTACGGCGGGGAGGAAAGCGCGAAGCAAACAGCAGTCACAAAATTGCCCTCCTCAAGTCAGGCACCTTGGGCCACTTCCAGGTTTCTTTCATCGAAAAAGCCCAACAACATGAAATCGGGGATGGACCTTGATGCCCCACCCCACCTGCCCGATGGGGCCTGAGTGGGCGATGGGGCCTGGCCCGCAGCGCAGGGCTGAAAACGACAACACGACCTCGCTGAGTGATTCTCGCAACACAAACACATCACAAGCAACACTGGAGTCCATCATGTAATTAATCACTACCAACCGGAATCACGGTCCGAGACACTCCTTCCCACCCACTCCCCCCCCAACACCACAGAAGTGTGGCCAGGACGCGCGCTTACCAATTCTACATATGGAAATACTCCTCCTCCTTGTCCTCCTCCCCGTCAACAAATATCTTGAAGCCGACTGTCTTCCCCTTCTCTCCCTTCTTCCCCACCTCCAACTTGAGCTGCGCGCCCCGCTCCAAAATCTCAGGCTTCTTGCAGATGATTGTGAAACGCTTGATTCCCACCTTGATCGTTTTCAGGGCCACCACCGCTGTCAATGGGGTAGAGATGGCGTAGATGGTGAGGCGGCATTCGTCCTGCTCTTCCCTGAAAGCGCGCGGGCGCAGGACAACGGTGGCGGGCAATTCACCACCCTGGTGCAGTCAGTGATCGGTCCCGGAAAGCGAGGGCGTATGTCCGGTCGGGCGCAAAGCTAACCACGTGGCACAGGAAGGACAATGAGAAACGCACCTTGGAAACGAAGAAGCCGATTTCATTCTGGGGGGTCGTGCCATCCCAGGCGCCGTAGCTCTTAGGTGAGACGAAGGACTTGATGTACATCGGGGGCGTACGGGGCATGCCGATCCCGCCGCCAAATGTCGTAACGCAGGCGATGGCGGCACCGTTCTTCACCGCGAACCGTCTGCTCCATGGTGGTATCAGTCTTCATGTCGCCCATGCATGAGTGGGTTGCAACGCTTGACTTACCCTTTCTGGTCTGCAAACTCGATGTGGGGGCCGAGACCATCGAGTTGGCGCATCATCTCAGACTGGAGGAACGTGTTGCATCCGAAACCGCCGACAACAAGGATCATCTATATCCACGGAGTGAGGAATTAGCACTTGTGATGGACGGTTAGACGAGATTGCGGGAGTTGGGAACGTACAGCAGGTTCCTTGCCAGTCTTTTCCTTGACCGCGCTCGTTTGCTTCTTGGTGAGTTCGACGATGCCTTTGGTGATCTCCCGTAACTCCGTAACAATTTTGCCGCTGATGTGATTAAGTTAGCAGAATGCCACCACGAGTCTCAAAGGCAGAGGGCTAAGCTAACCCAGTGAGGTTCACAGATAGAAGAGTTCCGTCGGAGAGGTCAACTTTGAACTCGTGGGTCATGTCGTCCCATGCGGCGGCAGTCATCAGCTGCGTCAGCTTCCACAGCTCCTCGGCTTGAGCTTCGATCTTCTCCTTGTCATTCTCCAGTATGGTGGTACCGTGAGCGCGTTGAGCTTCCCGTTGAGCTTCCTCCTCCACGAGGGAGTATAGGGCGCGGCGCATGAACAGGTCCCCAAGAAGTCGGCCTTCTCCAGCGACGCATTCTTGGACATTGAGGACCGGCGTGAGTTTGCTGATTTTGTAGGAGATGAAGTCCTATTTGTGGTTAGGACATTGAACAAGAAGGCGCCGAGGAACAGGCGAGGAGCTAAACTTACCACGGTGCCTCCGCCGAGATCAGCAACGACGATGGTTTGGCCTTCCTGTCACATGAAAAAAGCGCGTCAGTTCTGTCTATTCCGGTACTGTGCGGCGGGTCAAAGCGAGACTGCAAACCTTTAGCTTGTGCTCCTTGACCATGTCAGGAACGAGGGCCAGTGCCGCCGCCTCGGGCTCGTCGATAAACTTCCAAGAGGCCACCTCCCCGTCCACATGGGTCATTTTGGACTCTTCGATGGCTCTAGTCATCTGAGTGATTGTTTCCTCGACCCACACGGCTGGGCTGCCGAACATGAAGCAGAAATCGACGTCCTCAGCGGCAATCCGGCGGGTTCGCGCCTGCTCATCCAAAACCCGTTTCGCGTCTGCCCACAAGCACTTCAGGTACTCGGCGACAATGTCATCCCCCCCTTCCCCTTGTCGGTCATTTCGTCCATAATCTGTCGGACAAATTTGATCGAATCCGGGCGCTCGTTGCACCCGGACCGTGTGAGGTCATGGATGTGGACAAGTGAAAGCTTAAACAGCTCCCAGGCCGGCGTCCCCTCCTCGATACCGGTGCCCCATTTGCTAAGGCGGCCGTCGTCATCATCGTCATTGTTATCGTCATCGTCCTTGCGTATGGCCAGGGTAGAGGGCTGCAACTCCTCACTTGCCAGCTGTAGTTGTATCGAACGCGGCGGTTGATTTGAGACCTCCCCGGGCCCCAGTAAGTAGTACGAGACCCCGCTCGTGCTGTTCATGGAGCGCATCAGTAATGGAGCTGAGACATGACGGGGAGCATGCCCGAACATGCCGTACCGGTTGCACGGACGGCTGTGGGTAATGGGATAGGCTTACGAGACTCCAAAGTCCGCACCGATGCAGAAGCGGTAACGAGGCATGGTTATTCGGTAAAGGCGGTCGTACTATTTAGGATTGTCCTTCACGGCCGTCAAGTCGCAATTCGCAAGGCGTTAGAGTTGGAGCGCTGAAGTTGCAGGTGTGTTGGGGTTGGAGGTGTGTTGCAGTTGTAAGGTGTTGGAGTTGCAGGGTGTTGAAGTTACAGGGTGTTGAAGTTACCAGACAGGACCGAGTGTTGGAGTTGCGAAGGTAGGTATATTGAAACTGTATTGACGGTGTTGAAGTCGCAAGGTGTTGGAATTGTAAGGCGTTGGAGTTGTATGGTGTTGGAACCGTAAGGTGTTGGAGCTGGAGGATGCTGAAGTCGTTCATCAAATAAAATCATGGATGGGAATAGCTCCACCACAACCCCAGGTCCGGATCAGAAGCGGATGCAAACATGACCGCCCAGGTCAGGCCAGTGGTGGGATTCATGTTTTGGGTGGGCGAGGAGTGTTTTCACGGTGACCGGCATGGCACACGAATAAACAAACAAGCGCGGGCCCGCTCCTCCTCAAGGAAACCTTGTCCGTAGGCTGGACTTCATGGTTGGATGTTGAGCGGCGGGCCCAGTCGGCGGCGAGGAGCCGCGTCCGCGTGTCCTATTGCATAGGTACCTAGGTACCTTACTTGTGTATATAGGTACCTACCCAGGTAGGTAGGTTACCTGCATAAGGGGCCGCTCTTGATCTACCTTTGGTACATGGGTACCTATGCATGTAGGCAGAATCTGAGGGGGCTGTCCCAAGCCATGCTACCGCACCCATCGCTTTCAGCCTGCCGGAAACGGCGATGCCCTGCGTCCCCCCCACCCCCTCTGCCACTGTGCGGAAAAGGAGACGCCCCCTTTGTCCCAGTTGTCCACGGTTCTTTGGGGTCCACGAGACCAAGCGAAAGAGATCTGCCGCAGCTCTTCTCCCCTCTCTTCTGCTCTATGCGCATGTCTATATTTCCGATTCCTGCCCCCTTTACTTGGAGCCGTTACTCGTTCCTCCGTTTCTTCATTGTATTGCGCGTGACTGCTCCCGTCTCTGCAAGAAGCCCCAGCCGCCGGACAACCAACATATCCCGCCGGCGACAATGCCTCGAAAGCGTGCGACAATGCCTCAGAAGCGTGCAAAGCCCGAAACACCCACACCAGAGAAGCCAGATCAAACGGCACCTCTGAGCGAGGAGATTTCTCACGATGACCACCGCTCTCTCACCAACAGAAACTGCCCTTCCATGTGTTGCCGGAAGGGCGATGACTGGGCAGCTCATTGCGCAGCGCTGGAGAATTACGAGAACGGGCCCAGCGCGGTTCTAATGAACAAAGGTTACTGGGTGCCCATGTGAAGCTCCAGGCGCAAGTTTTACGAAAGCTGGGCCTGGCACGATGGGAGGACTTGTCTTCCGAGACGAGGAAGCGACTTGGCAGCTGGTCCCCCGTTGCGAAGAAATTGTGGGAGTCGGATTTTCTCTGTCACAATGAGGCCATGGTCCGGGCCTGGATCTGGCATTATCTCGACGACAACCTGTTTTCTTTTGGGGGAGGTGGCACCCAGGGGCAGCCGCCTCTTGCGCTTAGCTCTCCTGTCTGGGAGCATTTTCGGGCACTGCGCCGCGAGTTAATAGTGAGGCTCCCGGCACCAGACCTCTTGTATGGCGTGGTGAACGGTGCTAACCGCCTTTTGCCCAGCCCTTCGTCACGACCCCCAGGACTACGACCGCACGCTGTATCGCATTCAGTTCCACACCTGGAACCGCATTTTCGAGCATCTCCTTCGCAGAGGGCTCAAGCAAGAGGACTCAGTCAACGCGGCAGACTTGGTAGCCCATTACAAGGAATATCTTCGTCTCATCGTCCAGGATGGGGAGAAGAAGATTCCTGACGATGCTCACGATGGTAACTTCAAATACAACGGTGACATTGGCGACCTCCCTGGAGGCGCCCCGAACTACTCAATTAGGAATCTCCTCAAAACCGCCCGGGATTTAGAGTATTATCTTCATGGACTGGACCCCGGCAGCTACACCATCAGGTTCACTCCGACCGACAGCGACAAGATGTTCGACTTTCCCTTTGATAAGAATTGGATGGAGCTGAACGATCCCGTTGAAATCCCCTCCTACCCGCCAGGCAGCAAGGAACTGCCGTTGGTTGGGCTCGTCAGTGATCCCATGCTCGTCATCAGCGGTCTTGATGGTTTGGGCTACGAAAGAAACTTTACGCACCACACTTCTATGCGTGTTGTGGCCCCTTGGACCTTCGGCGGCGAGGAGGCGGCGCCGTGTGTTGACGCCGGGTACGAGAAAGGCGGGTTGCAGACTCGGGCCAAGACGAGGAGGGCCAAAGCGAGACTCAAGGAGGCCGCGGCGAAGGCGAAAGGTGCAGCAAACCCGGCAAACTCAGCGAACCCAGCAGGCCCGGCAGACGAAGCAGACAAAACAGACCCCAGCAGACAACAGCGGGATATCCCAGACCACGCGCGACGAAACTACTGATGAGGAACAGGCGGAGGATCAGACCGATCAGTCGGAGGACTAGGAACCCCCTAGGCCTGTGGGTGGTGGTAAAATCACGTCACATTCATGGTCCACAGACATGTCACCCGCAGGATGCAAGGCGGCCGCTGAGCTGGCAAGGCATGTGCTATACTGACAGGGGCCAGGACTTCGCGGCCAGCGATGAGTGTTCGATCGAGATCTCCGGCTGCTCACCCGCCGTTTGGCTAGAAAGGCCACTGGCAAGTCTGTTTTGGCTCCACTTCATTTCCCTGACTCACAACAACACTTTACGGGGTCTCGGGGTTGTCAAGAAGCCGACAACCAGGCATTCCGCCAACGGAGATGGGCCATCTATCCCGAGTTTCGGGCTCAGGGTCCTCAGGTCGGGCCGAAGTTTGGACGGGAGGCCAGTTGATGACGACGTGGATTTGTCACTGCCCCAGACTGGCGTGGCCAGAAGCAGCCAAGCAGGTACGTACATGTAGCTATCTACCATGGACGTCTGGCGTGTAAGTTTGGTGGGTGCGCTATTTTGAGGAGGACACCATCTTGGGTCAATGTTGTTGAGACCAACGTGCATTGAACCCACCTTTTGTGCAAGACCCTGTGCTGCATTCTCATCACGACTAATGCTTCAGCCAGAAACCCAGCCTTCGAATCGGATATGGAGGTTTCAGCAAGCCTGAAACTTTACCACGTACACACCATCCTCCTTACTGGCCATTTTCCGGCCCACCCAGCCGACGCATCTGGCCCTCTCCCTCCCTCCCCTCAGACCCGAGCCGCGCGCTCCCTCCACCTCTCCAACACAAACCTCACTCTCTCCTCCCGCCCCACCCACGCCAACCCCCCAACACCACATACGGCACCGCCTCAGCCTCGAGCATCCGACAAAAGGCGGCGTGAAACCCAGCCCACTCGTCCACGTCCTCGGGCATCAGGCGCACGCCGTCATCGCACAGCCAGCCCGCGGCCGCCGTGGCCGCGCCGGCCTCGCACACCACCACCAGCGACCGCCGCATCCTCGCGCGCAGGCCCGCCCACGCCGCCGTCCCCGCCAGCGCCCGTCGCGCTTCCTCCCCGCCGGCGTACCGCAGCGCGTACGCGATCGGGTCCGCCCCCGACCGGTTCCGATATGAACCACCCCGCCGGCGCGCTGCTCCTCACAGTCGCTGCCACCGCCACTGCCACTGTCACAGCCACCACCGCCGCCATCCTTTGTTCCGTCTAAGTTTGCCTCGCCCGCCCCCACCTCCGCTCCCATTCTCACCATCATCTCCGTCTCCACTTCCACCCCCGCCGTCGTGCTTGTCGTCATCGCCCTCGTCGTCCTCTCCAAAAGCGCCCGCTCCTCGGCCGCGGCCTGTGCCTCCAGGATCAGCCGCTGCAGGGCGAGGCTGCGCGCGGGAATGCGCACGTCCTGTGCCGTGAAGTGGTGGGTGGCGAGCACGGTGCGCGCTACCTCGATGATGATGGCTGGGGGTGGGGTTGATGATGGGGGGTGAGGGGGTGGGCTGGTGGTGTTGTTTTCATTGTTGTTTTCATCGTCGTTGCCATTACCGTTTTTATTGTTGTCGTCACTGTTACTGTCGTGGGGGAAGTGGGAACGGTAAAAGTGCGCGCGGAGGCTGTTGACAAGTGTCGTCTTGCCTATATACTGCGCGCCGACGATGTAGATGTTGGGTGGTGGGTTGGAGTCCATGGTGACCAAGGAGGGTGGTGTTGGGGTCGGTTGTAAAGAGTGGTGGATGGTGTTTGATTTCAATGGTAAGTTCTCCCGGAAAGATGGCTGCCGTCAATGGGTTGGATAAACGCTGAGTGGGTTAAAGTTTTAGGAATCATAGCGCTGTACCACTGCCACCAACACCAAACGGTTTCCTATTAGAGTAAGTGAGGCCTACAACGGGCGGGGAACTTCAATTGTCAATGGCACAACATCATGCATGGACAGCATGGCAATTGATCTGGACTGTTGTGTAACTTGGCACGGCGGGTATGTCTGCCTCCGCAACCCATGTCTTCCCTCGAGCCCACGGCGTTTTGGACGTGTTACCACATCTGCTTTGAAAAGCTTATTCTGACTTCGTCGTGTTCCAGTTAATTCAGAACCCCGCGCCTTTCAATTCTCAACAACAACATTGAAACTTGAAATCGACTACCCCCACTTGCACTCAGTGCCTCAACCACCTGTCCTACGCCTCAACCATGGCTCCCAACACGACCACTTCGACAAAGAAATCTAACCTCGCAAATCTCAAGCTCACATTGCAAAGCCCCATCACTTTGGATGATCGCGCCTGGAAATACCAACTTCCAAACCTTCCTCCTGCCCGAGAGCTTGACCAGAGAAGGCTCATCAAGACGGTTAGCCTGGTTACGACAAGAGGACGAAGCGAAATCGTGCTGTCTTTCGAAAAAGCAGAAGACAACCGAGCCATCAGGGGGGATCCGCTCAATAAGTTCCTTGTGGTTTCCCTCGCCGAGCTCCGATCTCCACCCCGATCACAACAGCAACCGCAGGCCCAAGGAACGACGAAGCCCGCCTCCCCCTTGCAGCCCCTGACGCCCAGAGAATGCGCCGACTATGTCCACCAGGATCCTCAGAACGGGTATCACGCTGCAGGGAGTCCATTACAACTTCTACGGCCACAGCAACAGCCAGCTCAAGTCCCGCACCTGTTTCCTCTATGCCGCCCCCAGAGACATCATCTCCCGCAGGGTCGAGTCGCTGGGCGATTTCTCAAAGATGAAGACGGTCGCGAAGAAGGCTAAGCGGATCGGCCTCTTATTCTCCACGGCCAAGGCAGCCATGGCCATCTCGCCGGAACCGAGTTGAGGATATTCCCGATATCGAGACCGCCGATTATATCTTCACCGACGGCTGCGGTCTAGTTGCTCCCAAACTGGCTCAAGAGCTAGCAAGGAGAGTTGGGATCGTCTTCAGAGACCGCCGATACACCCCTTCTGTCCTGCAAATCCGATACCGTGGCTACAAAGGAGTGGTCACCGTCGACCCAACCATGGCGGCAGACAAGAAGTATTTACTGAGGATGAGGAAGTCCATGAAAAAGTTTTCTGGGGGCGACGACCACTCGTTCTCTGTTGTTGAGCACTCAAAAGTAAGTGGCCCCAACCTGCCCCTTGCCCCTTCATCACAGCTGACACGTCACTCTAGCCATACACCTATGGCTACCTCAACGACGAAGTCATCATCCTCCTCGACGCGCTTGGTGTAGATCGCGCTGTGATCAAGCGAAAGCAGGAGGAACACTTCCGTTTTCTCGCCGACGCCACCCAAGACCCGAGGTCCGCTTTCCGCTTTCTCTGCTACGTCAACATGCCGCAGCTCGCCGAGCGGGTGTTGATGGACTCGCTAGAGTCTGTTCGACCGAGAATCCAGGCCCTTGTCAAAAACGAGTATGCCAAGATGCTCAACAAGAGGGACGAGCAGAAATGCCGGATCCTGCTACCCAAGTCGAGGCTCCTGTTTGGGGTATGTGATGCTTGGGGTGTCTTGAAGGAGGGGGAGTGCGCTGTCAAGATCACCATGGACGGGGACGGTCAGCCTGCCGCGTTGAAGGGGTGCGACGTCCTGGTCACGAGAAACCCGTGCCTTCATCCGGGCGACATGCAGAAGTTCAAAGTCGTGGAGAAACGGGAGCTGGCCCACTTGGTCGACTGTATCGTCTTCTCCTCCCAGGGTCGCAGGCCAGCGGCAGACTTGATGTCCGGGGGTGACCTGGACGGTGACACCTGTAAGTATCCCACATCCCCACACATCCACCCACCACGGTTAACTCTTCTCCAGTCTTCGTCTGCTGGGACAGCGACATTGTCCCGGCCACCCTGTCGCAACCAGCACAGTACCCTGGCGCCAAAGAACGCCTGAGGTTCGAGCCCATCACGGATGATGACCGTCTCGAGTACTTTGCCCGTTACAACAACGCATCACTGGGCCGTGTCAAGAACCTCTACCTCGACTGGGCTCGGGCGCGTGGGGCCATGGCGGAGCAATGCCAGGAGCTCAACCGGCTTTTCTCCCAATGCGTGGATGGCAACTTCATCAGGATACCCCAGAAGCTGGAGAAGGCCCCGCCGCCATCGCAGGATGCCCCGCCTTTTATTCTCGATGATATCCATGATGCTGCTAAGCAACTTATCCAACAAGCTACGACATCGAACCGCGGAAGAGCGCTGGACGACTATGACTTTGATGCTGTCGAGCTGCTCCTAAGTCGCGAGGACATCGCCGTCTCGGAGTATGAACTTCTCCGCATGACCTTGCGGTGGTGTCGCAAGAATGGGGCTCGGCTGGAGGACCTGCTTCACCTCTTTGATCTAAATGTCTTGACTAGTGAGGAGAGGGCATGGGTCCTGCAGCAACTTCCAGCCTCACAGGATATCCCGGCACTGGTACGGAATGCTGTCCGGTCTTCCAGCCTCCTCCCCGAGGCAGCTGCTTCCCGGTTCCAGCTTAACCACCACGGCGTTCAATGGAAACGCGTTTTCGATTCCTCACAAGACCGGTTAGCCACATTTCTGGACACCGCCAGCAAGACAATGGGGCTTTTTCACCGCAAGCTGCTCGTCCTGCGTGTCGATGAGCGGCTCACGCTCGCCATCTACGTCCCGCGGATCATTGAGCTTGCGCAGGACTCGCTTGTCGACGACACGGTGCGGCTGTTCGCATTCCCGCACACGCAAGGAACAGAGACCCAGAGCCGGATGTCCCTCCCCACCAAGATGACATACCAGCTGTACTGCGATGTCGGGGCCTTCCAGCTCTTTGAAGGGCAGCGGGCGAATACCTGGATCTACATCGCGAGGGGTCGGTCCGACGACAGCTCGTATCGGAACACCGAGAATGTCAGCGACCGGCGGAGACAACGCCAAGAGACTATCGACAGCGGGAAGAATTTCGACTACCGCGTCAGCATTGCGCTCAACAAGTTCAGCAGTGGCCTCCAGAGGCATGTTGGGAGGGTCAACCGGAACGGGCTATCTGCCGCGGTGAGTTCAACCTTCTCTTACCCAACAGTTAAGCCAACAACCTTGCTGACAAGCCCGTCTAGGAAATCTATGTCATCAGTAACAGAGACGTCAAGTCGATGCGGACTCTGGACCTCTGGCTGGAACACATCGAGACTGAAACGAGGCTTCCGCTGTTTGACAAGGAAATCGAGGAGTATACTGTTCCCAGCCTGGCAGGCGTTGACTGGGATTCGGAACCGGATCATATCGTTGACATTGCCCGGCGCCAAGATATGTCAGCCTTCAAGAGGCTGGAAACACCTGAGCAATTCAGGGGAACTTTTAGATGGCTCCTCGCACATTCCCAATCCCTTTTGTTACGGGCCTTCGACTACCTCCTCTCCACTATGAGGAACGGGGGCTTCGTTAATATCTCGCCGAGTGACCTTATGCCGATAATGATTGCCTTTCTCAAGTCCGCGCCGTTTCTCGCCATCAGCTTCGGTCGGATGGACGCTGTCGAGCCCGGAGACGAGCACATCGACAATTTGCAGTTGGAGGTCTGGTCGGTAGAGATCCTCCGCGGCTACATCCTGTCAGCAAACGAAGCACAGGAGCTGGTTCTCGCTCCATTGCGCTCATTCCTGTCCCGAGTTCGCGGCTTGACATTTGACAGCTTCGCCAACCTCGTTGAGCTCGCCGCATTAACTGTGCGTCAACCCGAAATTGCCGAGGACATCCTCCTCGAAGGGTTCGAACGGGAGAGCGCTCGTCTTCTCCCCGGCCGGCCCGCTCTGGTCCGCCACTTCGTCCACAATACCATCGCGATTGCCTTGGATCACGTCGGGGAGGCATCGGAGCAAGCAAAGACGAGACAAGACTTGCTGCAGTTGAAGCTCTTGCCCGAGGACCGTGACGGGTACCAGGTCGTCGAGATCATCTTCCGAATCGACTCGGTCGGCGGCACGCCTGAGAACGCGGCGCATGTACGCCTGACTGCGGCAACAGCGCCCGCCAACTCAATCCTCGCCAAACCCTACTCTATCGATGCTCTGGTCATACGCTCTGAGCAGGGCCTGGCTCAGTTCCAATGCTTTCATCCACTCCCTTCCTTCTACGAGCGGTGCCCGTGGAAGTTGGAGTATTGCGGTCCGTTCACCACAGCCAAGACCATGTTCGACGCGGTGCGCCGCTTCGCTGTCGACTTTGAGGACTGTTGCGAAGTAGCGAATCAGATTCTTTTGGGGGACGTCCCGGGGTCTCGCCCCGATCTGGATATCAACACCAAACGGGTCCTGCACGACTACCCCCACATGGAGAAATTGAATGCTAGTCAGAACGATGCAGTCCAGGCCGCGCTGAACTCACCTGTCACTTGCCTCTGGGGCCCGCCCGGGACAGGAAAGACGGAGACCATCGTCGAGATCATCCGCGCTCTCCAGATTTGCTTCGACAAACCGAGGATCCTAGTGACAGCCCCAACACATAACGCCGTAGACAACGTGCTGAGACGGTACATCGGGCGGGTGAGCGCAACGGTTCAAGCCAGCAATCCACATCTCACCCCGCTGCGCGTCTCGACTGAGATCAGAAAGGTCGCTGAAGACCTCAGGAAGTACACGTGCGACGCTATGGCGGGTCAGGAGATCCACGCCAACCGCGCGGCGATGGATCAGGCCAAGAAGAGGGTCAAGCAATGCTGCATTATCTTCACCACCTGCATCGGCGCGGGCATTGGTCTCCTCCGCCCCGAGGTTTTTGACATCGTCATCGTAGACGAAGCGTCCCAGCAGACGGAGCCAGCGTCGCTGGTCCCGCTGGTCAAAGGCTGTCAGAAAGCCATCCTAGTCGGCGACCACGTCCAACTCCGGCCGACCGTGCACCAGCACTCCCTGGCCATAGACTTTGACAAGTCTCTCTTTGAGCGGCTCTACACGGAGCAATATCAACCAACCACCACCTCCACGGTGGCAGCTGCCAACTCCTCCCCACTCGCCTCCCCGCCTTCCCTCGCCCACCTGATGCTCGACACACAATACCGCATGCACCCCTCGATCAGCGCCTTCCCCTCAGCCGAGTTCTACTCGCACCGCCTGCGAACAGGCATCCCAGCGAGCGCGCGGCCACTACTCTTTCGGGTCGGCATTTCCATGGCCAGCACGGACCCCAGGTCCCCACGGACCCGACCCTATACCCCGAAGACGACGACCACGGCACCGACAACATCGCCCGGAACGTGTTCATCGACTGCGCGGCGCGCGGAAGACCTCGGTGGAAAGTCCAAGACTAACCGTAGGGCCAAGCCGAGCTTCTGCGCGCGCGTGTGCCGCCTGCTGCTGAAACCACAACCCACTCCCACCACCACGAATCCCAACACCACCACAAAACCCAACACACCCCCAAACCCCACCTCCTTCACCCCCACTTTCCCTAACCATCGCGATCTTTATTCCATTACACCAGACAAGTGGGACCTTCCTCCGCCGCCTCCTCAGTGCCAAAAATTCTGGGGCGTCGAAGTGTCTAGCATCGACGGCTTCCAGTGGTTTTTATGTCTTTTTTTGTTGTGTTTGTTGTAGTTTTCTAGCAACGATATCGACGAGATTGA